AGGAGGAGGAGGAGGAGTGGTGCCCCCATGGGTCCCACCCCCAGCCCTGTCTCTGCTGGACTCTAAGGAGTGTTCTACAAATCCCTCTTTATGCCACCTCCCACAGCTCAGCAGACAGGGCTAGAATGTCTGCTAGGGGAGGTTTGGGGTGGACGGACTGATTAGGAGGTGTTGCTTTGATACTTACCTTGAGTCAGCTGTGTTTTGCTTAGCAAATACAGAATTATTATTTTTTTTTTACTAAATTATATTTGAACTAGTCTTGATGGAAGATTCGGGGGACTGAATCCTCCCCCCACAAACCACTTCTTGGTGCTGTCTGTAGATGTGGAGGGAGGAAGGAGCAGGTCTGTGTATGGACTGGTGATCATCAGGACAGTGGGAATTGAGAAGGCCATGGGCTAGCGGTCATGAAGGAACACAGGCTTTTGAACTGCAAATACGATAATGTACCTGGTGAAGTAGAACAGAACCCGGCCGCAAAGCCTGGAGTTGGAACATTAGGTCCTACCTCAGTAACTTGGCCAAGTTTCTTAATCCCCTTGAGTCCTATCCTTCAGGAGAGGAGTCTGGCACGTTGTAGTTGTTGGTTAACCATTAGTCCCACCTACCTCCTGTCCATGCCTTCTCTTAAGCCTGCCCTTCTGGGCTTCTTTCAAGGAACCGTAAGCTTTTATGAGGGAACACACATTTAAAAGAACAAAGCATTGCATATGTGGGCCTGTTTTTAATTCCTCGTTCTTTACATTTGCTTTTTGAGTTATTTCACCCATTACTATTGTAACAGCACTCACTGTTCTTCATTAGTTATTGCAACAGCCATTTGTACACCCATGTTCACGGCAGCATCATTCACAGTAGCTGAAAGGGGGAGACCCACAAAGTAACAGCCCTCCAGACTCCAGCTTTCAGCCGTGGTGTTGCTGACAAAGTCAAGCCCCCCGTGCTTTCCACAGGGACAAGTGCCCGGGCTTGTGTGGAAAGGAGACTGTTCATCTGTTGCCTCGGTAGCTTCCTTGCCAGCCGAAAGTCAAGTGTGCGAAGGTGCAAGTTAATGAAGCATTATCCACAGACGGGGCTGTGGTGGGATTGGGCTGACAAAGTGCTCGTGAGCCCCTGGGAAGCTCAGACACACAGATGCTCAGACCTGCCTTGTGGTTACCACTCAGTGTATGTGAGCAGGTTTTCAACAAGAGTTTTATTCATGTTAATTGAACAAAAATAATCCCGCTGGTGCCCATTTGGCCCTGGGCGTGGCACTGCCCTGTGAGGTTCTTGTGGGTTCAGAGCTAGCTGGCAGGTGTGTGGCTTGGCCTGCTCTGTGTGTAATCTGGGTGTCACTGAACTGGATATTGTTTGGGGGAATCTGTTTTTTCCAGGTGGACACAAGGCTAAGGAAAGAGCTTTCAAAATCAAATTATATGAGGCCCATGCAATGAAGAATTGAGGATCGCTGTTTTATAATATCAAGTTATAAATTAACATCCAAGATAAATGACCATTCAGAAAAAAAATAAAAATATCTCATCAGTGCTAATGGATGTTTCACATTCATCAAGATTTGAATCACTCACCAAATGGCACTTTACATTTTGCAAAGTATTTGTGCAAACCTTATGAGGTAGGCAGGGAAGTCCTTAATTTCGTCTTACAAATATGGAAACTGAGATAGAGAGGACATAAATATCTTGCATAACCAACAGCTCTAAAGTGGCAATTAGAATTAGGTTCGGAATTAGAACCATGTTTTGTTTAGTGTTTGATGATAAAAGAAATATATATTCATTTAGAAGACTAGTTGGTGTCTTAGTCCATTTTCTAGTGCCAGTGACACAATAGTGCTTTGGTTCGCATTTCTGGTTCAAGGTCAGGGGTCCATATGTGGTGATTTCCTCCTGGTGGCAGAATCCACCTGGGTACAGAGTATCATATAGTGAGAGACAAGCAAATGTGTCTGTTTCTCCTGATCTCTTCGGTAAAGCCACTAGGATTCAGTCATGGGGGCCCCACACTGATGGTTTTAGCTAATCCTTATCTCTTCCCAAATGCCCCTCTAAGCAGCATACGCAGATTAAGTTTACACCCTCTTCATATCTCAAAAACTCCAATATGAGTTTCATAGGAGACAAAACCATAGCATATGGACAAGTGTAAAAAAGTAGAAAATCACCCGCATAATTCTACCATCCAACAAGATTCACTGTTAACCGTCTGGTGTATCATATTATATTGAAAGAAAAGTGCTATTTTATTATGCCATTAGGAAAGAAAAGCTGCCAGTTAAATTCTGACACACTAGCAGTGTGAGATACATCTCAGTTTTGGAAATATTAAAATGTTGCAAAAAGATGCATCCTAAAGATCATTACAATATGTTTTGTATCTTATTGCTTTCCATAGTACCATTAACAGATGAACATATGGTTGTAATTAAGTAAAAATGAATCATAATTAAAATTTCTTTTGTTTATGCTAAAGTTGACTAATTTTTAAATATTTACAAAAGGTACTTTAAATATCTGTTTTTCAAAAGTTCATCTCTGAATCAACTAGTTAATTCTTTCCTCCATTTTTCTGTTGGAGCAGGACGGTGTGTTAGTGTGTGTGTGTGCTTTGTATGTGAAGGATTTTAGCCCCTTATCCAAAGGCTAAATGCTTTTTGTCCTGTGTTTTCTGTTCAGGGTCTGTTATTTATCATTTAGAAAGATAGGAAAGAAAGGGAAATATTTCTCATTTATATTTACTTTTACCTTTCAGTCTTTTTCTTGTACTTTCCTCCATTATCTTTGTGTTTAGAAAAGCTTTTCCTATCTAGATCCTACAGAAAGCAAGTTTTGTTCAGTATTTTTCCAGCTGCTCTACATTTCCCATCACAGATGTTTTTAAAGCACTTTAATGTATTGTTCCATGTGCACAGTGGCAGATGGATTTTAGGATCCTAGCTGAGGACCAACACAGAGTCCTGGGAAATAAGGGACAGAGAGAAGAGCTGAGAAGGGTTTGCATTCACTCAAGGTGGGACAAGAGGGCCATCCTTCTTGAGATCCATCTTGTAAAATTTCATGGGAAAACTCAGATTGTCCACTTTGAGGATCCTATGTTGGTTTAACTGTGTGATTCCTGTCAAGCTCAGGCTGCCCTCAAACATACAATCTTTCTGCTTCAGCCTCCTGAGGGTTAGGATTACAGGCATGCACCATCATGCCGGGCTCCATGAGCGTGACCTTCTAACTGTAAAGCCACACTGTGGTGATCAGTTGAGTCTGAGGAGTTCAAGTCCCCAGTTGGAAGCTTGGATCATCGGTGAGCTCTGGGTTTCTCCCCGGGGAGTGAGGAGAGCAGGAAGCCCTGACTCTTCTTGCTCAGTAGCAACACAGTTAGTTCATGCAAGTACCTCTTCATATAGGACCCTTGATCACCCTGAGGGTGAAGCACCTGTGTTCATTGTTCACTGTGCACTCACCCATTTCTTAATGGAACAGGGAGAGTTGTAGTCTCTTAATCCTTCCTGTTGTCATGGTTACACACAGTGCAGTCATCCCCAAATACATACTGTCCTGTTTTTTCTTTCCTTTTATATTTCCTATATATTTTCTAACACATTCACCTGTCTATATTAATGTAGAATTGTTTATCCTCAAATATTTTGACTTGGTGGGTATATGGTTATATGTGACTTTTTTACTATTGTGTATAATAAAACCTATGAAACTTACTGCACTCTCACGGCAGGCCAAACTCAGTACAGATCCTTATATGTGTTTAATGGTTCTAAAAAGTCCATAGAGTAGGCACTATGAATGTTCTCCTGTCGCAAGCAGAGGTTCTGAGGCTCAGAGCTTCCGTTCATTGTCTGAAGTTACCCAGCTGGAGATAACACGGCCATCTCTTC